TCAGTCTAGCAGTCTTGGTTTCGCGACCTCCCTCTCGGGCAAGCCGAAAATACATGGGTGGTTTTGTATTTGTAAGTACAAACCCATTAAATTAAAACAGAACCACTAGGTGAAATCACCATTAAACTACAGCTAACCTTTCAGCAAGCAAGACCTAACAATAATATCAACACATATTTTCTAAATCACACCCCAAGAATGGGGGTTTTTAGCCACACATCAAGAAATAACAAAATACACCTAAAATGATAGTGAAATCAAAATGGGTATAAGAAATTAAACCTTGATTTAAGCAAAGGAAGAGGAATAGGGAAGACCCACTTCCAACTTGGGGAAGATGAACTCCTTTCTTCAAGTTCCCAAAACCCTCTCCAAACTTGTGAGTAAAATGTACTAAAAAAAATATTAAGAATCTGATATTGTCTAATAATACTAAGAGTTCTGATACTAAGCTATAACTCTCAACGAGTATTTATAGGTTTCAAAAATCTGTGTTGCGGCGGATCATTCGACGACATTAGTCAGAATCGCCGATCAACTTAGCGATTCGCCCTTTGGTGTAGTTCATCGCCATCTTGCACCATCCTTCGGCATCGTCGTGCTCTGGGTCATTGGGCGACATAGTACTGCTTCGCGGAACTCCTCGGCGATACGCCAAGTGGACTCGGTGATCCTCAATCCTTCCTTTTCTTGTTCTTTTAAGCCTTTTTGTCCCTTTTTGCGAAGTAGTGTCCATGCTTTCCTTCAAATTCCTGAAATTTCAAGGTTTTCATCAGATATTGAGATAAATTAAGCATTTGAGGACACAATTTCTATTAAAATATAGCCCTAAATGAGTCCAATTTGTGCACTCATCAGCCAGCCCCTAAACTTTAGAGACCCTGTTTTGGCACACTGTTGGTGCACCATGCCAGCCCTTGCTGGTGCATCCGTGGCGTGCCGCGCCACCTCTCCCCCAGTTCAATCCGATGAATTTTTCAGCATGTTTTCTAATCTTAATTCGACTAAAATCGATTCTTTTTCTCAATTTCTCTTAAGATTTAGTTACCCAATACTCGTACACGAGAATCTACTCAAAAACAACTCTAAAACTCTATACGAATATCTCAAGAACTCTTCAATCCCATCCTAATTCAAGAACGAAAGCAAACTTCAAGAACACTAATCAAGAACATCAAACCTTCAACTTTCTAGAACGAAATTACGCTGAAAATAACTTGATTGGCGTGTGGGTGAAAGAACCCAACACTATGAGAACGCACATACCTCTTGGGGATTAATCCCTTGGCAAAACGACCTTCGATTTCACAAGAATCTTGATGAACGTCTTTACTTTTCTCCTCTTTTCTCTTCTTGAACACTTTTCTAAAACCCTAGTGTGACTTAGAATTGTGTAAACTGAACCAAATCAGTTTAGCCCCCTAATTATTTACTAAAAATGAATTAAATTTGATAAGGTAAGGAAAAGACCAAAATACCCCTCATATTTAAGCGGGCATATCTTTCTCATACAAGCTCGAAAATGAGCAAACTCGGTGGCGTTTCAAAGAAGATTCTAAGACCTTTCATTTGATATCTTACGGGTTACCTAACTCATCATGTACAGAAAGTTATGGTTGTTTGCAGTTGACCCTAAGCTCATAACTTATATATAACTTGCAAAATTTCAGATTTTGCTATTTTCAATTTAGTTCTTTCTATTTTTAGCTCTTTCAAATACCGAGGTGTTACAATATCCCCTTTGGGAACATTCATCCTCGAATGAGATTACTCTAAGTAGACTAAGGGTGGAAACATCTTACACCAGTTCAAACACTCACTATGCAAAGTAAATCAACATTTCAACTTAATATAAATGCAGAGAAAAGGATTAGTACCTTAATTTGGAATTTCTCCGGAATCGAAGAGATGTGGGTATCTCTTCTTCATATCCTCCTCAGCTTCCCGAGTAGCTTCCTCAACAGACTGATTCCTCCACAAAACCTTGACTGATAATACCTCCTTGGTTCTCAACTTGCGAACCTGGAAATCTAGAATCTGAACAGGAATCTCCTCATAAGATAAGCTATCTTTAATACAAATATCTTCAATAGGTATTATAAGTGAAGGATCACCCATATACTTCTTCAACATGGAAATGTGAAATATCGAATAAACCGCTACTAATTATGACGGTAGCTCCAATTCAGAAGCTACATTGTCAATCCTTTTGGATATCCTGTAAGGACCAATATACCGAGGTGTTACAATAATACTTTGAAGCACATTGCTGTTTTCTCGATCTCATATACAATTTTGCAAATTCTAATTAATTAAATGTTAATTTCTAGTTAATTAAATCACCTATTATTTATTTCACTTTTGACAAAATAATTTCAAATCCTTTGAAATTATCCTTATATTTAAGCCAACAAGAAAAGGACTAACACTCCATTACTGAATTGTACGACATTTTGTCTGAGTTATACTTAAGTAAAAGGATGAACACTGCATATTATCATTGTACAACAAGCATGTCATATTGTACTGTATAGGTTTACTCATTTTTGGCCCTTTCTGGCCCAATTTGATTGGCTCTTCAACACGTGGAAGTACAAAACAAATTGCATCTGCATATACTCGAAAGGTCTCATTTGAAGCAACACTGAATCTGTATCTTTGTATCCTGCAACTTAGCCCCTCTCAAAATTGAAACTGGTAAGTCTTTTCATCTCCTTTCCGGTATCTGCTTCTTCTCTCTCGTGTTTATTCTTCTTCTTTCCCATTGAATTTCTGTTTTTCATTTTCTTATTTTTGGGGAATTCTTTCTCCATTCCTTCTCTGTCCGTTTCACTGATTTATAGGTAATGGACATTTGGTAAATGGGTAATGAACTTGGTTCAATCAGCAATGAAAATTGTGCAAAAAAAATACTTTCTTATGTTGGATGGGTTCTTTGGTGATGAAGTTTGTTTAAAATTTGTGCATGCATGTCAATGCTATGTTTGCCCTTTAATGTACTGAGGGTATTCGATAGTGTGCCTAATTCAACTTTTTTTTTTCCTTCTTTAATTGTGCATTTATAGATAAGTAGTAATTTCTATTCTATATTTTAGAAGTCATTCTTAATGGTCATACGGCTAAAATGATGATTAAAATTGAAGACCAGTAATGTAGAGTAGGAGAAGTGCACGAGAGAGAATAAGTTTGTGGATAGCATGTATACATGTTGACTTCTTTAATAAAAAACTGGGAGGTGGCCTCTATTTTGCAAATTATCCCTAAAATTCATCATATATATAGGAATTTTTTGTGAGGCACTCAACATTTTAAGTATTTCTCGAGTTGTAACTTCTGAAAAGGAAAAGGAACTTTTGATGTACAAAGTCCTATTATCGCGCTATTTCTCTCTTATTTCGGTTACTTCATCGTTATTGAGCTCACTAACTATTGTTCTTGAACCAGTAAGGTTCAGTTGCCTGAGGTAAATAAGACTTTGTTCAGCAGTAATTTTAAAAGGCTCCAAATACTGCCGCAACCATACTCAGAATGCAGTTCCACATTGCTTCGTTAGGGTAAACATTTGCGTGTTACTTTCTTTTTTAGTCTGCTAAAAACGAATGTCTCTTTCTAATTCACTAACTATTAAATTCTTCTACATGACATGTTTAAGACCACAAAGTTCATATGACTTTTGGTGTATTACACGCATATTTAGTTTAAAATCATAAAATTTGAAAGTCGTCCTTATTTTCTTGAACTCCGCCTCCAGACAAGACAAACTATGATACATAAATAAAAATGATGGATTAATGATTTTTGCCTTGTTTCACATACAGAGTTTCTTTATGTTCTTACTGAATTTGCTTTGTACCTGATACTGTTTTGCTTCTTTGTAGTGTTGGATATGTGCCTTTTACCTTCGCTTCAAGTAGTAGAAATCGTACTAAAAAGCAAGCACACCTAATATGACATTGAGAGGCTTCTGTTAAATGATTAGTTGGAGCTGAATGCCCTAGAGTCGTATCTTGTGTTCATATTATCGCGTTGGTTGCTAGAGATGCATTTCTGATTACAGCAAGTGAAAGCTCAATAAAATAAATTATGAACTTCTTGAACAACCTAATTTTGTGTTAATTAAGACCACTGATAGTTTATGAGAGGCAATGAAATGCGTCAAGCTCAGGATGGTCTTTAAGTATTCTGCCTTTTATGTATCTAATTATCTTCGTGTTTTTGTTGATGTCGCTAGCATGATTGGAAGGTCCTTTTTGAAATGTGTCAACCGATAGAAGAAATGTAACAATATCAAATGTCTCAGAAGCCATTGTTGACATCCCAGTTCCAAAAGATGTCAAATTATAATTATGTCCACCGACAATAGAAGATGCAGATGATCATTCCAAATCTAATATAGTGTATGAGGAGATCATTCAAAATGCATTCACATGAAATCCTAACTTCTCTATCATTCGGAAGAAAATCTACTAAACCAAAAAAGCCACCAAATGTTTTCCAGTAAAAGCTATTAGAAGACTCCGCACTACGTAACAAGGTTAGTGAAGCTTACACCCCATTGTTAGAACTTAAAATAGCACTTTTGAAGGAGTAGAACGATTTTTTTTCAAAATGAGAAATCTTCAAGTTTTTAAAATGTCTTGCCCATATATTTGTCCGATTAAATAGAATACTTACTTGATTTTAAAGTTGATTCAAATTTTTTGTTTTAGGGTGATAGAGGTCAAGAATGATGACACTCATAGTAAAAGTTTGATCTCAAAGTATATTTTCTAATTTGTTGGTGTGATTTAGTTCTTAAATTGAGAAGTTTAAAGGTTCATAGACCCTGACATGAGTGCTACAATAAAAAGTATATTTCCATGTTGTTGGTATTCTATGTTAATAGAAACTTCTCCCGCTGAGTTTACAGGTAGCTTCATGTTCCCTATCAATAAAAAGGACTCAATTGGATATGGTAGGTGATTTACATGATCTATAATGATATTTAGTGGAAATCAGTTTTCTCTTCTTTCACACATAAATGATTGTGTCTTGAGGGGACAAGCTAATTTCTTAAATCATTATTGCCGTGTAAATATTTGTCACCTGAATGATTCTAATTGAAATAAAGCAGCATTGTTGGTAAAATAAAACTTTAACACTGCAACAAAGAGTAGTACAAATAGTAGCCTAAAGTGTATAAACAAGATCATTTTTGGAGATATTTTTAATTCACTTGCAGCTCTTCCACGATGACATCTGTTAACAGGCGTGGAGTGGAGTGAGCAACAACTAATTGTCTTTGTAGTTTCATGTTGTTAGTGTTTTGTGGTGATAGAAACTTCTCCTCTCAAGTTTGGAGGTTAGCTTCATGTTCCCTATCGATGAAAAAGACTCAATCAATTATTCACGTGGATCAAAAATTTGTACCATATGCATTACCGATAATATGGACGAACAAGTGCATTGTTATAATTTTATAGGAACGAGATGTGTTAAACTTGATTCTTCTCAGAAAGTCACATGTATTTACTTGAAACACGTGTCTCGCCACCTTTTCCTTTGATGTTTAATCTCTCTCTCACTCAATATCCATCTTTTCAGAAGAAAAACTTATATGGAGCTTTGAATTTCTTCGGTATATGTTTGTTTCTGGTTACATGTCCATGCATTTTCAGATTTTCGTTATTCACTTCCTCCCTGATTTTCTATTATTTTATGCCCGTATTCTTCTTCAGACCTAGATTCCCAATCTCGAGATATTATCTCCCTTCATCTAAAATTTCTGAAGGAGTGGATTCTTTCGCATAATACTAAAAAAATTAGTAGTTTTACGGTTGAGTTTGTTCTTTAATCTCTTTTTGATTTTTTTTAAACTAAAAGCCTCTAACTACTGGATCAAGCGCACTGGTAATGGACTGACAGTAAGATTTTCCCCTCTATTTGTTAGTATAACTTATACATTCATTATACATAGTTTGTTTTTTATTTACCAATTAATTCCTTTTAAGCTTCCTATTTATTTTGCTTTCTTTTGATAAGATTCTCAGGTTGAGGTTTGATGCTATCTCTGTTATGATAGAAACGTGCAAATGCAATTCCATATATAAATAAGCTGGTGACCTTTTTTTTCAAAAGGTATCTTTATTCCTTCTGTGTTTCTCCTTCTTAATGTATTCCGTTAAATTTGATAAATTTTTCTTATGTTTTCTTGAGATACACGTCGTTTGAAGATTTCCACTTTTATGAAATTATTTTAATAATAGCTGGATAGAGGGCTCCGGGTTATACTAATATTAAGTTAGCTATTTTTATGAGTAGAATTTCACATTTGATTAATTGACTGAATATGTTTTCTATCATGTTAGATATACCAAAATACTTTGTCATGTAAGGCTCAACTATCCAAAGAAAGAGGGACATCAAAAGAAAAGGAAAAAAAAAGATCTGCTTGAATTTGAAGGTTAATGGGAACCACCAATATTTGTGCAATGATATGATTGTATATATCTTGAAATCAAATAGCTTAAGCAATAGGATGGAACATATCATACTTGATAGTACTTCCTCTTAGAATTGCTCAGACTGTTTCAAAACTTAGCTAAAGTTTTCTCAGTAGTGTTATAATAATTTTTGATACATTGAACTCACAAAGTGTAGTGGAACTTCATTATTAGTTTTAATATCTAAATCAAGGATATATTTAATTGATACTGAACAAAACATGTTGATTAAATATACGTTGAGCAACTTTATACGTCTACAGTAAACATAGAAAACTCTTTTGTGCTAAATAAACTATTTACTGAAGGTCGTTAGTTTGTACATATAGCTAATCCATTTTTCAAAGCAGATTTAATGTTCCTCTCAAATATGATTGATGTCATAAGGTGCATTTCTTTCCTGTACCACACCAAAAGTACCGCCCCCAAATTCTTCCTTTTTGAGCTCACTGTTTAATTTTTACGAGAATTAATGATGCTTTCACTTATCCTTGTAATACCTTTAATTTGATGATTGTTTCTGTTTGCATGTCACTTACATCTTTTCTTTACTTATGAGCTATGAAAGTTGGTCGTTTCACTTGAGTTATTAGTGTATATAAGATTTCATGACAGATTCTACAATAAAGCTAGCTCTTCCTGTCATAACATCCTATGTTGCGGTTGCTTTAACTCTGTTATGAATCAATTCCTGCTAAATTTTATTATTTACTTCTGTAAACTATATTTGTAGATGTTAACAGTTTCTTTATTTAATTTCTGCACACTTTTTATGTTTCATGAGTCGACATATTTTCTTTCTTTTTTCTCTTTTTCCTATGTATTCTATAAATAAATTTACTTGTTTGACAAATTGCAGACAACCTGATCCTCGTGGATCAATTGTAGTAAAATTATGAATGGAACTTTTGACACTATCAGTTGCGAGAATAAGTTCTGCTCCTTAAGAAATGAAGGAGACGTCCTGGATCTTATATCAGGACATATCTTTAGCAAGAATGTTAGTTCTGAATGTTTCCTCTTTAATTTAGGGTTGAATTAGCATCTGATAAAGTTAACTTTGATTTGGAATTTTAGTCCAGTCAGCTAAATGCACATTTGTAGGCAGGATACCTAAGTTAATTTTTATTGACTGCTACTCTTATACACTCTATTAAGGCATCTACCGCACGCCAATGAGTTCACTAATAAGGTATCCATCTGCTAATGGTCTAGCATCAGCTCAATTAGCTTTATATTTTTTGGTGTGTTAGTTTTTCATTATTTTCTACTGTCCTTCGGTGATCAAATGACTCTGCAAATCATTCAAAATTGACCATTTCTAGAAGTATAAAATATTGGAGCACGGGCCATTCCTTTCTAGTCTTGTAATATAAGGAGTCTCTTTTGTACATTTAATCTTTAGTTGTATATTCTATAGGTTTCAAGATTCTAAAAGTCACAGACAGATTATTTATTTAAATGTATAGTAACAGTTTAAAAAAATTACATTTTAAATAAAATTTAACTTATAACATGATCTCATCACTTCATCTCCAACCTATACATCCCATATCACATTTTTTAAAGTGAATAATTTTTTTTTTTAAAAAAAGATTTAATTAAATAGTATTAATCACGGAAAAATATTAAATATTATAAATGTTAATAAAAAACAAACATAGAAAACTCATTCGATCTAAAGAAGAAAGAATTTAAGTACATAATTTGACAAAAACAAATCATATTGAATGACATAAATTATAGAATCACAATAAGACATTATAGATCTAACAATATCATCATTTGCAGGGGATTTACTTTGATAAATATTGTTATTCTTCTTCTTAAACTTTCACTTTTATATTTGCAAATATATTCAAATGTTTTTCGGCTAGCCATCAAATAATATACCTATTCGCACTTTATGATGATAAGAAGAATGAAAATAATTCAACAAACAACACTACACATTTGAAGAAGAACAGATCCATAATTCAATAATTAAACATGCAAATATAAATGACTGAATAAAAAATAATAAAATTAAAAAGTATTAGATTAACTCCACTAAAATTAAATTAAAAGAATAGCATACAATTGCAAATAAAATTAAACATATTTTTGTTCATTCTCTAATATTTTATCACCCACAAGTCTATTATTAAAGAGCTATAAGAAAGTGGGGTAACATGCTTGAACTATGATAGTAAATTATATTACACATTTATCAATATTATTTTATTAATGATTCCATTAAAATTACGATTTATAAATGCATATATTTAAAACTCCAATAAATGTGAAGATATGACTAATAATTCAATATTAAAAAACATGTTAGTATAAATGATTGAATTAAAAATTAAAAGAAAATGATAACATAAAAAGATATCAAAATAACTTCACTAGAATTATATAAAAGAATAACACAATCCTAAATAAAATATTAATCACATTAAAAATCATCAAAGATTATGAATGTAAATTAAAAAAACATAGAAAACTCATTCGACTTAAATAAGTACAAAATATGACAGAAACAAATCAAATTGGATGAAATAAACTAAAAAATCACAATAAAACATTATAGTTCTAACAATATCAACAGTTTCAAAGGATTTTCTCCTCCTCCTCTTCATCGTATTCTTCTTCTTCGTCTTCTTCGTCTTTGTCTTCGTCTTCGTCTTCGTCTTTGTCGTCGTTGTCTTCGTCTTCATCCTTGTCATCGTCTTCTTCCTCTCCTTCTTCCCCTCCTTCTTCCTCTTCTTCTTCCTCTCCTTCTTCCTCTTCCTCCTCCTCCTCCTCCTCCTCCTCTTCATATTCTTCTTCGTCTTCGTCTTCGTCCTCGTCATCGTCTTCGTCCTCTTCGTCTTCTTCCTCTTATTCTTCCTCTCCTTCTTCCGCTCCTCCTCCTCCTCCTCCTTTTAGCCTTCAGGATCCCTAGAGAAAAAAAAGCTGGAATCAAAAAGAAAGAAGAGAAAACACGAAAATAAGGATCGGGGTCTTTCTAGTTATTATTTTTGTTTATTAAAACACAGGACTCTGCTAAGTGGCTCATCATAGCCTTTTTAAAGTGACTTTCACGGTTATGATGAGCTTTAGAGTTGAGTTCAAAGTTACAGCCTTTAGTAGAACAGGTGAATTCGTCTTCTTCGTCTTCTTCATCGTCTTCTTCGTCGTCCTCTTCCTCTTCGTCTTCCTCTTCCTCTTCCTCTTCCTCCTCCTTCTTCCTCTTCCTCTTCATCCTCTTCTTCTTCGTTTTCTTCTTCTTTGTCTTCCTTTTCGTCTTCCTATTTTGTGAATGTTCAATGTGGATCATCATATATATCTCTTATTCACACGAATCTATGAAGATGGTCAATGAAAAATGTTATTAGTTAAATGCAATAATGTCTATATTTATTTCAATTTGATGCGGTTCAATCATGTAATTAGTCGTATCTCACTAATATTACTTTGTAGATGATATTTGTTGTGTATTTTTCCTGTCATCTAACTAGATGTGTTTTGCACGTGTATTCCACTTAATCCATTTAGATGTCATATGAACATGTGGAGAAAAACTACATTTTATTTTTAGAACTATTTTTTGTATATTAATTTTATTTTATAAGTTATAACATAATAGATGATGTTCTTTTTGTTGACTCTCATATTTGACTTCTCGATTGACTGTGTACATAAATCAAAGATAGTAATCTGACTGTCCATAGTTAACTGAGAAAGGTTTCTTTTTTTTACCGTAAAAACTAAAAATTAAAATTAAAGAATATATTCTATCTGTGAAATCATATATATAATCACCTGTTTATCTTACACCCAATATAATTCATATACTTGTAAAAAAAATCTATTTATTCAACAAAGCATGATTTGTCCAAGGAATAATAACAACATCGTGTTATCACATTTATAGGGATGGTATAATAATATGAAAAATTATTGGTCAAAAGTTAATATAAGGAAAGATGAAAGATAAAATTAATTAATGTAATAACTATGAGCATTCATAATATTATAACTAAAGAGTGTAAAAGAGTGTGAATAACATTTGCAATAATTTCTAATAACTAAGAGAATTTATAATGTTATAACTAAAGAATTAATGTGCAATAGATGAATTTCTAATAAATTTTATACTTACATAAATAAATAGGACTTTTAATTGATGTTACTATGTTTTATAGATATTAGATTTTAATTTAGAGTAGTGACAAATTGAAAATGTTTATTCAATATTACTAAATATAAAATTTATTTTGTTAATGATAAATTTTAAATGATTCATATATATTCACATATTTTCACATTTGTTGTGATTATTTTTTTTAAAAAAAAGAACTTGAAAAATTTTAAAATAATATATTTTGAAGTTTGAAGATCTTTTTAACTTGATAATACAATCGCGACATATATAAATACCTACCCAAATATATATTTATGCATTTATGAAAATATATATCTCATAAAAATTAACTATTAAATAAATAATAAAAATTAAACTAATACAGACTTCAATTGGCGTTATTAGAAGTCATATGAACTTTTCTTCATTGAAAAAACTGAAATATTAAGAAATAGTAAATTAGCAAAACAAAAGGGAAATGTTTACATAGTAATAACTATTTTGAAGCAAACTTCCTGACAATCTAAATCACATAAGTAGCATTGATAAATAAAGTCATACTTTGACAAAAAAAACAAATCGTGACAATTCTCTAACTCTTGAGAAGTTTAATAATTTTGGGAAAAGATATTCAGAAACATATATCAACATCACAAGAGATACTGTTAACAAAAACAAATGAATTTATACCTCAATAAAAATTAAACTTATACAAACTTCAACTGGCGTTATTACAAGTTATATGAACTTTTTCTTCGTTGAAAATACTGAAATAATAAGAAATAGTAAATCAGTAAAACAAAAGAGCAATGTTTATATAGTAATAAATATTTTGAAGCAAACTTCCTGGAAATATAAATCATATAAGTGGCATTGATAAATAAAGTCATTATTTTATCTTGGGCATCAAGAAAACAAATCGTGACAATTCTCTAACTCTTGAGAAGCTTAATAATTTTGAAAAAGAATATTCAAAAGCATATAGCTACATCACAAGAGAAATGGTGAACAAAAACAAATGAATATAGCCTACAATAAAAATTAAACTAATACAAATTTAAACTGGCGTTATTACAAGTCTTATAAATTTTTCTTCGTCAAAAATAC